ACCCCCAGCATGCCTGCCGCTGTCTTCCTGAGCCATTTCCAGGAAGCCTCCCGTACCAGGGGCATACCAAGGCCCCTGCAGAGGGAGGGGAGCGGCAAGCAAGAGTTGGATTTAGAGATGGTCCGAACCCGGAAACTTCCCTGAGATTATGTGCCCCCCACATCTGTAGGTCTCCCAACCAATATGGGGGGAGGAATAGGGGGCTTAATAGGAGAGCTCCTGCCGCCCATCCTCTGTGGGCTCCTCTTCGATGAGCTCCAGGTCGAACTCATCTTCCAGGGAACCCCCGACAGGCAGGAGGCGGAACTTCTTTCCTTTCAGGGTGCAGGTGCGGTGCTCGAAGTCCAGGACGGCATTGTGGTCCTGCAGCACATCGGTGCCGATGATGGCTTCTTCAGCACTCGCGTTGGCCACCAGGAACTCGGCCTTCAGCTTCAGCTTGCCCAGGGACACCACTGTATCCCAGACGCCCAGGATTTTCATTTCGGCTCCGTTAGCCACTTTCACCACGTTCTCAAAGGGCCGCAGGGTATCCAGATCGCCATCAGTGACTTCCTCCCACAAGCTTGGGTGGACCACAGAGACCTGGGCCCCGGAGTCCACCAGGAACCTCACGGGCACTTTGCCGATCTTCCCTTTGAGGTAGTAGCCCTTACCCATGCTGTTGGCAAACATGATCTCTTTGGGGCGGCTGCGTGCAGCCCCGGGCTCCCCGAAAGCCCTCAGGAGGGCCTCCTTCACAGTCCCGTAGTCCCCCTGGTCCTGGACACTGAGTCCGTTGTAGACCTCTAGAGCATCTCCACTGAGCGACTCTTTGAGGAACCTGAGCTTGGTAGCGTGGTCCCAGTGGTTGAGGTCATCAATGACCTCAAAGCGGTGCAGCCAAAGGCTGGGGGCCATACTGGCCCCATCAAAAGACTCGGGGACGAAGGCATGTTCCCGGCAGCCCTCCTGGCTCCTGGCTCCACTTGCAGCCATTGCTCTGCTCACCTCTGGAAGATCAGCAGCAACCCAAGCCAAGCAGAGAAAGCCGCAGAGCAGTGTTGGCGCAATCACGCTGGAGAACAAGGCCTCTCTAAGCAGGGCGCTGTTTACTTACCCAGCCTGGGCAAGCAGAAGGGAGCAAGTGAGCGTTGTGGTGCTGACAGCTGGGCACAGAGGCAGAAGGCTATGTGGCCCGTGCAGTCTGCAGAGCCTTTTTGATGCCCAGTCGGGCCCCCAGGGCTACTCAGTCCCCTTTGTTCTGGAAGCTCCACCCTGCCCGCCCCGCCCCCCCGCCAGCATCCTGCCTGACTAGCAGGATGGGTGCCTCACCCTTCTGCCTCTATCCGGGGACTGATACAGGCCGGCCCACGTTGAGAGGATGACCAGTCTCAGTGGGGGAAGGGGCTGCCCAGGTACCCAGCCTGTGTCCCAGGAAAACCCTGATGTGGACACAGAAGGTGTTATGACATTCAGGTTTTATCATCTGTGGGGGAAGGAGCGGGGAGGCTGGGACCAGATTCCCATCAGCTTTAGGCTGGGGAAACCCCTTTGGCCTGGGACCTCCTGAGTGGCCAAAAGGAAGGAGCCTGTGCTTTCTGCGCTCCAAGCGGTGTCTCCCCACATTCTAAGTGTGGGTCCTGTGAGATTCACTGGAGGAAAGACAGAAGAGAGTCCCAGAATCAAGAATGCACAGAAATAATTTGGGAGTTAAGACACACACACACACAGAGCCTTTTTACATGAACTCATTTGCTGCAGTCGTTTTCCTTCATGGTCACTCGTAATTCAGAGTCAGCCTTTTTGAGCGAGGCTTTGGCCTGTGGGTGCTGTTCTAGACTGGAACAGGCTGGCATGGACCATGAACTTCTAGGAGTGAACGCCGGAGTCCAGCTCTGGGAAGGCCCAGTGCTCAACACTTCAAGTGTTGTCTCCTCCCTGTGCGGTGTCTCCCCACATTCTAAGTGTGGGTCCTGTGAGATTCACTGGAGGAAAGACAGAAGAGAGTCCCAGAATCAAGAATGCACAGAAATAATTTGGGAGTTAAGACACACACACACACAGAGCCTTTTTACATGAACTCATTTGCTGCAGTCGTTTTCCTTCATGGTCACTCGTAATTCAGAGTCAGCCTTTTTGAGCGAGGCTTTGGCCTGTGGGTGCTGTTCTAGACTGGAACAGGCTGGCATGGACCATGAACTTCTAGGAGTGAACGCCGGAGTCCAGCTCTGGGAAGGCCCAGTGCTCAACACCTCAAGTGTTGTCTCCTCCCTGTCAACCCCTCTATTTTCTAGGCAGCATTCCAAAAGTCCTTTCCCAGGTACTGCAGCCCCTCCTTTCCCCCACCCTCCCACCCCGGGCTGATTACCTACGGACGGAGCAACCCGGGAATCTCACTCTTTGTTCGCTGTGTGGTGATGCCACTCCTGAGGACATGGGAGGCTTGGCTGGAGGGGGCTGTGTGTGACCCTCTACCATGGTGGTAGAGGACAGTCTACATGTGTCACTGTTGCCCATGTCCATGTGCCCAGGGGTTGGATGTCTCAGTTAGGCCTGTGCTGGGATATCGGGGCTATAATAGGCACCCACTTTTATGATACTATTCAATGTCATCTCCTCCATGAATCTTTCTACCTTGTCCCTAGCATCCATATACACTTCTGGCTGTTTGTGTGTCACGGTGTGCCCTGACAATTTGTTCACAAGTCTATCTTGGGACAAATCAGCCTGGGGTCACAGATGTGGCATTTGTGATTGTCTGCAGCCCTCATAGAAAATTCTCTGGGACTCAGGAGGTATTTTCTGCTGGGCCCCAGGCCTGTCTGTGTGCTGTCACCAAACAGGAGGGATTAAGGAGGGCAAAAGGAAGGTTTGGTGGCACACCTGTGACTCTGAGTTTGTTTTTCCTGGCTCACAGCCTGTCCCTCTCTAGCTCTTTAAACTGTTCATCACCCAGTGCCTGGCTGAATCCCAGACGTACCTGGCCCTCACCAGGTCCTGTCTCTGGATGATCCCAAGGTCCCAACCACATTACAAGTCCTCAGTCCCTGCTGCTCTCTAGCTCCTCCCACCTGACACAGTGAGCCAGCCGAGCAGTCAGCTCAACACTTCTCATCAGAGCTGCCTGGCTAAGGTGGGGCCTTGGTGGCATTCCAGAATCCAGGGGAGGGGGACACAGAGTCACAGGGAAGGTGACAAGAGACGGGTGGGTGTTCAAGAAGATGGCACAAGGAAAAACCTGCATCTAGAAAAATGGCCCAGCCACCTGCAAGACCAGTATGCCTCTTCTGCAAGTGGACTTTGAGGGATGCTCTGAGAGGCCTTGCGTGGGCGTGGTTCCTCGGCCCACAGATCTGACCCTGTGCTTCCTGACCCCATCACCTTGCATACCTGCTCCCCGGAAGTGGGAATGAGTGTGGAGGCTAGCATGTGACTAGGGAGGGGAGAGAAAGCAGGGCTTCCCAGCTGACACACAGGACTGCCAGATTGTTCCAAACTGATCCTTCAGACCATAGGTGCTATGCTGATTGAGGTCACAGCTCCCCATTTCCTTTAGACTAGAGATAGGTGTCCCCCAGAATTTCATTTGCTTGGGTTCAGAGTTCTCTTTGGCAAAGTTATTCCACTTTCTTCCCCTCAAGGAGCATCGTGACAACTTGTGAGGTAGACCAGCCCTACTCCAGGAGCCCAGCACAGGGGCGCACGTGGCTCACCTTAGGTCCCTAGCCATCCAGTGGCTGATTGAGAGCCTTTCTCAGAGAAGGCCAGGAAGTAGAGTGCCAGGCTCAGGAGGGCAGACCCTGGGTTCTGAGGCTGTGCTGTTGATGACCTCTGACGAGCACAGAAAAGCAAGAGCTGATTATCAAATATTCAGGAGTTTTTTGAACCAATTGCTGAAACAGTTGGTGGCTTGAAATTGGACTTAGTGAAACTCTACCACAGACATTGGCAAATCAGTTTTTTGTTTGTTTGTTTGTTTTCTGGAAAGCCAGTTTACCACTGGCATTGGATCTGCCCCCATCCCGGGCCAGTGATTAATAAGTTTAAACAAGTCTTAACGGCTTGGGCCCAAGTGGCCTGCCCAACTGGGAAACTGGAACCTACTTAGCCCCCACACTGCCCCACAATCTGTGACGCAGGGCAGGTGACCTTCTACAGGGTTTACACTGCTCTCTCACACACACTGCTCTATCTACCTGGAAGGGGTCAACATCCAGCCTTTGGCTAGCTTTAGGGGCCCATCTGTGACTAGGGTCAGGAACACGGTAAAGGTACGTTGGCAGGGTCTCTTCGTCCTTGGAAGATGCCATACTTGGAACACTCTGGAAGTGCTCAGAGACCTTGGAATGGCGATGCTAATGGTGCACTGATGAGCTAAGCCAGGTGGGGTGGGCCAGGAGCCACTACCTCCTCCAAGAACCTGGGCCACGGCACCTAATCGTTGACAGGTATAGGTACTGGGTGGGACACCCTCATTACCACCCATTAAATCTCCTGAGTGTGCTCTAGAGCAGGCTCATTGAACTTGACCTGAGAGAAGGCAAATCAGGACAATAAACAGGAAGGATTTAGGACATCCCCACCCTTCACACCCCCTCACAGAGGTTTCCAGGCTGTAAGCTCCTCCTGCCCCATTCTGTTTCAGCTCCCTGGTTCCTCTTTGCACTTCTACTCCTCCAGGAGAGTTGAGCAAATTGGAAGACCAGGGCAGGGCCCCTAAGGCTCCCTGAGAATAGAAGGCTTGGTGGGCAGCACAGACACCTAATCCACTTTTGCGGTTTCTGCTGCCTGACCATTTGTGGAGAACGCAGTGGTAGCTCAGAGGGGAGCCTAAAGCCCTCGAAGTCCTGGGAGATGGAGGGCAGGGCCCCACTGCAGGGTGGGGAGTGGTGGGCTAGGAGGTGACTTAACCTTCTAAGTGACACCTTGTGAATTGTGGTTCCCCTTCTGAGCCTCACTTGGGTCAAGAAGAGGCTCAGTAAAGGTGGGACGGGTCTTGGCAATATGCAGGTCGGGGGCCGCTCCTGCCCAGGCTGCTGCTGACCACCTCACACTGCCGAGGCCAAGGTTCCCCTGGGCATCCAGCCAGGGAGAGCAAAGGGGACTCAGAGCTTTCAGCACAGAAGGTTGAAGGGAGACAAGGCGTACACTCTCACCAACAAAGACCAGACTCACAGGCACGTGAGCTGGTCTTACTCAGGAAGGGTCTGAGCTCGGCCCCATGCTCTGATGTTGCTGTCTTGAGATTCAGGCCCACACTGCAGCTCTGCACCAGGCTGTGCAGATTACATAGCTGGGTTTTGTTTTGGTTTTTTTCCTTCAACACATTCGGAGGTGGCTTGTTGTGGTAGCACAAGCCTGTAATCTAAGCATTCAGGAGTCTAAAGCAGGAGGATCACTGTGAGTTCAAGGCCAGCCTGGGCTACATAATGAGCCATTGTTTCCAAAATAAAAAATAAAAAAACTAAAACAAGCCTAGTGGTGGAGACTTCTCTTTAAACGTATATACAGCCAGGGATTTAGCTCAGTGGTGCTGCTGCCTGCCCCGCAAGTGCGAGGTCCTGAGTTCAATCCCTGGTACAAAAAAAAAAAAGCCATATACCAGATGCACACAGACACACACATCTTATCACACATACAGAAACACTCTACACATTGTACACACGTCCTGGGCACACACACACCATACACACAGGCACACCACTGTTCTCAGATCAAAACAGCTTAGAAATTGTGTGACTCGACTAGAGTTTGGCTTCTGCCTTTTGTTTCACATACGTATCAGCACTCACATTTACATCAAGTATTAAATTCCTATTTATTGGAGGCACCTGTTGTTTATTAGCCTGTGGGCACACTTGCTACTTCAGAACACTGGGCAGGTCCCCATCACTGTGTCGTACAAGCTAATGAAAACAGGATACAGATGTTTAATGCCACATTTTAAAGCGTGGAACAGCAACGTGCACATGAAGGTTGACCCACTTACAGCAGCCCCCCAGTCATCCCACACCCCTTTGAAAAGAGCCAGTTTTGAAGTGGGTCATCCTGCCTTCTGCTCTTTCCCACCTGTGAGGACAGAAGGCCCTCCGTTTCTCTCACCCCTGGGCACTCACCACCCAGAGCCAGGGGCCCAGCCCAGCCCAGCCCATCCAGAGGCCTGGCCAGGATTGGCATGAGTGTGCGTGGTGGTGTTGACAGCACTGGGCCCTGCTGCTTTCTGCTTCCAGCACTTGCTTCAGGAGGCTTCAAGCTGAAAACAAAAACAAAGAGATGAATTCAGCTCACAAGCCTGGTTAGGGATCCAGGTGGGCCATGACCGCAGCAAGGTTTGTTGGGAAATCCATGGTACCCGCAGGTCCTTCGTTCCTGACCACAGACCCAGTCTACAAGTGTTCACCATTACCACCTGGAACACTTGGTGCTCAAGAATAGTCATGACCAAAGGCACCTGGGCAGGGCAACTCTTTCTCACCGTCCTCTTTCTCGAGCTCTGCCAGACTTCTTACCAACATGGATGTTCCGGCCCCAGCCCTTATCAAACAGGCCAGTGTCACCACTGAGGACAGAACGTTCCTGCCTCCATTCGGCCCACCCTCCCCTCTTCCTGTTCCACCTGGTTTCGGGACCCTCAACTGGAGTAGCCCTTCCAAGCCCACCAGCAATCTAAGACCTCGACGGGAAGCAAGATGCTTGGTGTAAGTCATGACCCGCGGGTCCGGGAGGATGTGGGGAACAAGGATTCAATGCTCACTGCCATCAAAAGCTCTCGGGTTCCAGGTGAGGATCAGGACCAACCAAGAGTCAGCTGGTTGCTGACTAACTGCTAAAAAGCTAATTAGCCACAACCAGTTCTCTCCTGCGTTTATCTTTCAATCAAATATGAAGACTACTAAGGTATCCTGAAGGCCTAACCAGTCCCCTCCTCACAGCCCAGCCCTCCGAATTGGGTTCCCACCTTTGGCTCAGCTTCTGGCACCCTTCCTGGAGACCAAGCCCTCATCCCTTCCTGTTCCGAAACCTGCTGCCTCCTCTGGGGCCACAGAGTCCCTGCAGTTCGGCCTGAAGAACCAGGGGGGTCTAAGGAAAGACCCCAAGCAGAACCCCTTCCTCCCTCTCCAGCCACAGGGTCCCTTCCATTTGACTGAAGTTGGGAGAGGGACTTGTAAGACCGGTCCAGACAGTTTTGAGGACATTAAAGCACTTTTCACAATCACTCCTGCAATTTATGAACTGTGCAAATAATCAAAATACACAGACTGAGTAATCTCCAGATACAAGTGGTCTTTTAATGATACCAGAAAACTTGGCTGCGAGCTGGCCACATAGAAGACTTTTGTCCAACTTGAAATACCTCAAAGGCAGCTTTGAACTGATCCTGAAATAGTTTTAATTGCTGTTAATGATGCCCAGTATAGTGAGCAATGAAAACATATAAAATAGCCCTAGCCCAGGGAACTGCTTCTTTTGAATACATTGCCAATTTAGCTTTGTTCTTAGTTTCTAGAAACTGAGGGTAACAAAAAGTGGAAATCTTCCATCTGGTTTATCAAAACGATCTCTCTTCTTTACCATCCAGATGAAGTGGGAGAGGCAGAAAAGGAAAGAAGAAAAAGCAGCAGAGCCCCAACACACATGGAAGGCTCCAGGTTATTAGTAGCAGCATTCACAAATGTTTATTGAGTGTCTACTATGTTCCAGACAGCATGCTGGTGGCTGTAAATTAGATTAAGGCAGTCAAAGAGTCTGTGCTATAGAAAGAGAAGAACAATGGCAAATAATAGGTTGATTCAATTCCACACATATTTAGGAAGGCCAAGCCAGCCTCCTTGTGAGAGATGAATCAGACCTGCGGCCTCCCTTACCGTGCACCACGGGGAGGTGGACGCTCAGGTGCGAGAGGGTGGCCATACCAGCTGGGAGACTGCGTGGAAGGGTGGTGGCTCAGGGAGCCGTGGGCAACTTCTCCCACCCTGGAAATCGACCACTATCACCAAAGAACAACAAAAATAAAGGAAATATTGAAACGGAAAGAAGACATTCAGAAAACAAAAACTTGGATTAATGTGTCTTGCTCCTGACAGGCTACTTGGGGAGGAATTTGGGAATTAAGACTCTGGGACTCTCAGTACATGTGAACACTGGTCAGGAAGGTTTTGGGGATGGGGTTAGCCTCTGGGTAAATAGTCCAGTGACAAGTACACATATATGGGCCGGGGATTTAGCTCAGTGGTTCCACCGCCTGCCTCACAAGTGTAAGGATCTCAGTTTGATCCCCGGTACAAAAAAAAAAATGTGTATATAAACATAGAAAAAAGACCAGAAAGAAATATACCCAAAGAATGACAAGTTACTTTGGGATGGTAGGGTCATGAATGAGCTTGTTTTCTATGTACATTCTGGGAATCTGGTTCCTCTCTCTCTCTCTCTTCTGGTATTGGGTTGTGATTCTCTGAGCTACATCCCCAGCCCTTTTATTTTATTATTTGTTTTATTTTAAGGTCTCAATAAGTTGCTAAATTGCCAGGGTTGGGGTCAAACTTGTGATCCTGTGGCCTCAGCTTCGCAGAGTGCTGGGATTACAGGGGTGTACACCACCACATTCAGCTGCGACTCTGTTTATAATTTTTTTTTAAAGTTCTTTTAAAATAAAGACACTTTTAAAAAAGATAAACTTGCTCTAGTCTTTTCTGTGAGCTTAAAATTATTTCCAAATAAAAAAGTTTTTAAACAGAGAGTATAGAGAATATCTGTACCTTCCAATTTTGCTGTGAACCAAAGACTGCTCTAAAAAATTAAGTCTGTTACAATCTTGAAGAGTTTTTTAAAGGGGCACCTAACAAGACTGCTATATAAAATAAAACTGGCAATACTAATAACTGTTAAAGCCAAATGGAGAGGGCCATTTGAGTTTCCCGCTACTTTGGGGTGTGTTTGGACGTTTTCCGTGGTACAATGTAAATAACAAGTAAACAGACATCTGGGCCAGACCCTCCGCCGCAGGACCTGCCTGGCTCTGGTCCTGCTCCCCTGGCAGAGTGCTTCTCATCTGTCTGGCATCGTGGGCACAGATGATCTCGGCTATCTCAGTGTCCCTGCTCCAAGTGCAGATTCTGAGCTAACCCTGGCCTGCGTCTGCTGTGGCTCTGGACTCCCTCAGCCAGCCTTTCGTCCCCTCTTCTCCCAAATCTCTAAATTCTCCAGTGGGCGCTCCCCTCCCTTGTCCAGATTGGTGTGCCAGAGTCTCTGGCGTCCTCAGAAGGAAACCTCGTGTGACCCTTCATCCCCATGGTCGGTGACCACTTTTCTCCCTCCATCCCAGGCAGTTCTAGAAGGCGTGCATCACACCTGCAGGGCCTCGTGGGGGCTGCACCCTTCCTATTTGCATAAAGGCACCCAAAGTCACTGAGCAACCACACTTGCTCTCTGCCTTCCTGTGTGGCCCCCATTCACCCACAAAGCCCCTGGCTTCTATGACCACCCTTATCCTCACTGAGGCACCTGTGGCCTCCCAGGGGTCATGTCTTGTGACCCCTCCCGCCCTCAGGGAGGTGGATCCTTCTGAAGCATTCGCCTGTTACTTCTCCTCTCAGGTCTCTGCCCCACTGGTTTACTTTTCTGGTTTACTTTTCTCTTTCAGCGGGGAGGTTAGCCTTCTGCAGTTCATGATGTCCTTGAACTTGTGACCCTCCTGCCTCAGCCTCCTAAATGCTGAGATTACAGGTATAGCTGGTCCCACTGGTTTCTGTGCCCCAGGTTTTCAGATCTTCAGCCTCTCAAACCACTCCCTGAAAGCTCTTCTGGGCTTCTTCCCCTAGACGCTGCTCTCACTGGGTCTACACTTCTTCTTCTCATTCTACACACACGCTCCCAGGCCTGGGACTCCCCAGACTATCTCTGGGGGCCAACTGCCCCCCACATGTCCACCTAGAAGTGCCACTTTCATCAATAAACATGTGATCTTCTTGCCAATACCCTCGGCCTCTCGTGTTCTCCAGCGGGTTTGCTGAGTTGGAAACACAGGGGTCCCCTCCCCTCCTCCTCCTCCCAGGAGCTTTGGATCCTGGCTGGGCCCACTGGCCGTCTGCCCCTTCCCTGAGCCTCCATCCTCGGGTCTCCCTGCCTGCCAGCCCCTCCCCTCAGCCTCCTATGTTTACACCGCCCCATGCTGCCTCAGCCCAAAACACAATCTCCACTCCACACAGGTGCACGCAGGCCTCTTGCATCACACTCCACCTGTGCCACATGGCTTGGAGCTCCCCAGCGGGTCAGGCTTTCCGGGCCTTTTCAGAAGCCCTGCTCATAGCCCTGTTCTCGTGTGTGTCCCTCAACACTAAGCCGAGGTCTTGCCCCCTCCAGGAAGCCTCCCTTGATTTCCCCAGCTAACTTGGGGACTCCCTCTCTAAGCTCTCGGCACAGGGACTGTGACTTCGGGCTGTCTACCGGCTTGGGAGGCCAGCTCAGACCCGCGTCTCCAAGCTGGAGCATAAACATGATCCAGGTAGGAAATTCGTGGTGTTTCCAGCCTCTGATCTCCTACAGAGACCCCTCCAACCCATCTCGCCCTCCCTGTGTCCCTCTCTGGCCTTCCTTTCCCATTGCTCCTGCTTTGAGATCTGTGAGAGTCAAACCTTCTTCCACATATTTACCTGTAAATTTCCACATCCAAACTTTTGTTACTGTAATCATAGTAAAATATTTTCCATCATAATTCAGTGCACAGATGCATTAAAGTAGATGAAGTCAGCAGGTGCAGTGACGCACGCCTGTAATCTCGGCACTTGGGAGGCTGAGACAGGAGGATCACTGCCAATTTGAGGCCAATCTGAGCTAACTGGTGAACTCAAGGCCAACCTGAACTACATACCCAGACCGTCTTAAAACAAAACACCAAAGTAATAGTAGTAATAATAGTAATAAAAGTATACAAAATCTTTACGTACCTGAAACAATGGATTTACTACATGTAACATACTTTGGCACTCTGTATTTTCTATTTGACTCTGCCTCTTTTTCTTTTAATCCTGATAATGACACACTAAATTAACCTCCTAATCCCTAGTTGCTCCCCACCCACCATCTGTAAAGCTGCCCTAGCCCTTGGGGATTAGCACAGTTCCCACAGGGAACACAGCACCTCCTGGGTATTCTAAGGCACCAGATCAGTTTTGTAAATTTCCAATCTATCATGTACTTTATAAGAATGCGGTAGAATGAATTCTTCGAAAATAGAAAAACAAAGGTATTTTGAAAATGCAATAGTTTTTGTGGCAGATACCAATAATTTCAGCACTCTGGGAAGCTGAGGCAGGAAGATTGCAAGATGGAGGCCAGCCCGGGCAATTTAACTGGTTAGCAAGACTCAGTATGAAAATAAAAATTAAAAAAAAAAAAAGCCTGGGATAGGAAATAGATCTTTTGAAAAAGGGAAAAGGACAAGAAATGGAGGAAGGGGAGAGGGAGAAGAGGGGAAGAAGAAAAAAATAATTAAGATGTCTTCAGTACATGTAGCAACTCCCCATGATGAGTGTAATTATTATGAACTACAAGCAGGCACTGACAAAAAATTTTTAAAGTTTTTAAGGAAAATTATTTTTAATGTTTAAAAAGGGTTGGGGATTTAGCGCCAAGTGAAGTCCCCGGGTTTGCTCCTCCACCTACGCTGGGAGCCAAGGATGAATGACCTAAGTCTTCTAAGCCTGCTCCTAGATTGTCCTGGGAGACAATAAAACAAATCCTCACGGAGCTCGGCCCACCCCCGGGACCTGGCTGTGAGTGCTCTCCTCTTCCACTCTCGGGTTCTGATTGTCCTCTCCGGGTTCTCACTGAGCTCGAAGGCAGCGTTGTGTAGCCTTCTCCTGGTTCCACGCACCTCTCCCCAGCTTCCAGCTTCCAGCTTCCGGCTCCTACCGCCTGGACGGTTTGCGGAGACAGGGAGGAGCCTCCGGCCACGCCCCCCGCCCTAGGGGTCTCCCACCTCCCTCCTCCCTCCTCTGGGCACCCTCCCAGAGTTGCATCTCCGGTCACTCAGCCTAAGGCTATCCGCCCGGTGATGTGGAGTGAACGTTTAGCAAAAGGCTCCCGGGAAAATGTATACGCATACACATACACACACATTTATTTGTTTTTTATTGACTTTATCGGTACATTTTAGATATACATTATGGTCACATTCATCATTGGGAATTTGTACCTGTGCACGACATATCTTAGTTTTTGTTTTCCCCAGTCCCCTACTCTCCCTTCAACCCCTCCAGTCCTCCCTATTTACAAAAGCTTTGTTTCCGGTTTTCCCTCTTTTTTCATATTTTTCTCTTTCCCCCACTCTCTCCACTTCTCCTTCCCATTTGAGCCTTTGCTTCCTACTTCACATTATCTGTTATACAATTATCATACATTTTGGTCATTTACACTTTCAGCTTCTCACAACAAAGACACTACATATCAATTTAGAATATGTTTTATTGACAGTAAGCATGGTGAGCAATTTACAATTAATATAAAATAGACAATAGTCTTATTGTAAATTGAATACTCTTATTGTAAATTGCATATAGCCAGGGAACGCCTGCACTGATTTTTGCCAACCTACAGTTATTGACAAATGAGCGTTATTATAACATGTAGGTTTTTGTTTGTTTCAACTAATGAGAAAAAGGTGAGACAATTAAGACATATGTTGGAATTTCGTTTGTTTTTCAATGGTGTGAGCACCTTTGCTAAAGTGAATAATCATTTTTTGAATACTGGAAGAATATTTGCTTAGTTGTTTCATGCCACTGACAGCATAAGGACTCTAAGCAAAACATACACTTAACGTTTACTGGGTGTTACTAACATTTTCTCCATAAATTTGTTTCTTAAGTCTAGGTAGTCAACCAAATAATAAATTAAGCCCTGACGTGTAGTGGTTGCCAATTTTCAAGGTGTAATTGTTTCTACCATGGCTGGTTTCAAGCAACCAATCATTTTTTTGTTTTGTTTTTTGTTTTTTGTTTTTGTCTCACTATGTAGTTGAGACTGACCTAGAACTCACTATGTAGTCCAGGCTAATCTCTAACTCACAGGGAACCTCCTGCCTCAGCCTCCGGAGTGCTGGGATTACAGGTGTGTGCCACCACGCCCGGCTTCAAACAACCAATCTTATGCCACTGAATGCAGACCTGGGGAGAAAAGTATAGCGACATAGTATATAATGTTTCCACAGATACCATAGACGTAGATAAATTTAAAGGCACAAACAGTAATAATATACCATAAAATTATTAGGAGGTGATAAGTTGAATTATTTTCATCTTTTAAAAATATTATTTATTTAATTAAATTTTCTTTCTTTCCTTCTTTCTCTCTTTTTGAGTCAAGGTCTCACTGTAGTATAGGCCGGCCTTGAACTCATTACGTAGCCCAGGCTGGCCACTAACTCACAGCGATCCTCCTGCTTCGGCTTCCTGCCTCAGCCTCCCGAGTGTGGGGATTACAGGTGTGCAGCACCACACCTGGCTATAGTTTCATGTTTACTAATAGCTGGTTTAACCACTGCCCCACAAAATTCCTGCAAACATAGTGAAGAGCGCTGGTGTGATCTGAGCACACCTAGATCTGACTCCCAACTCCAGCTCTGCCCTGAGAGGGGCCTGCAGAGGCTCTCCAAACACCTCACGGCCCCTTCCAATGACTCTTGTTCAGGTCTTGTTGTAGAAGCAAAATTCAACTCTGTTCCTTTTTCTCAGAATTGCTCCTCTCCGGGCTGCCGTGTTAGGGGTGCTCGTTAGCATTCACTCAAGAACCCAAGCTAGAAATCGTGGACGTTGTCAACCTCCCACGCCAGGCCACTGCCATCTAAAGCCCTCTCACAGCTATTCCTGCCCTCTTTGGGTCACACCGCTCACCTGGTGTCCCCCAGACAGCACATTGTCCTCCCTACCCCTGGCCCGGCACTGCTGGCCCTGGTCACCTTGCTGATGGCATCTGGCACTCCTGTGTCCTGCTCTGTTCTGCACTAGGCAAAGCCAGCCTCCCAGGCTTCCCACAGCCAACAGCTGTTGTTCCTTGTCCCACTCTGTTTCTCCAGATCCGCATCTGATGTGTCTGACACTCGGCTCTACTTCTGCCACAGAACCAGGCGCAGTTCCTTTGACGCTCTGCTCTTGCAAGCCCCATGCCTTGCCCGGGCTCTCCTGGACTCTGGGAAGCTCCTCTCTTCAAGGACCTGCTGCATACGGTCTCAGGCGGGTCCTCCTGCAATCCACCACTGTGAGCACCCCCGCCCCAAGCACAAGGCGCCCGCTTGCTCAGATGCGCAGTCCTTCCCTGGTAATGTGTGCTCGCTTCTGACCTGTGCCGGATTCTGCACTAGGTGCTGGCGATGCGGAGACGAGCCAGGCTCAAAGAAAGTTCTCGGTCTGATGGGGAAACAGAAGTAGGGTAAGAGCTGAGGGTGTAGCTTTAGTGGTACAGCATATGCTTAGCATTTGTGAGGCCCTGGGTTCAATCTCGAGAGAAAAGAAGAAATAAAGAGAGAGAGAGGGAGAGAAAGAGAGAGAGGAAGAAAGGAAGGGAGAAAGAGAAGGAAGAGAGGGAGGGAGAAAGGGGGAGGAGAAGGGGAAGAGGGCAGGGGAAGAAGAGAGGAAGAGAAAAGAAATAAGGCGACCATTCCCTCGACAGGGCTGGGAGGGTACTGGGGAAGAGCACAGGAGGGACACCTTCCTTGGGTTTCTGGGGATTCCGGTCCTTCTTCTAAAACTGATTCATGGTCAAGAGTTAGCCAGGTTGGAGCCGGAGTAGTGGTGCACGCCTGAAATCCCAGCACTCAGGAGGCTGAGGCAGGAGGATCACTGTGAGTTCAAGGCCAGAGTGGGCTACAGATTGAGTTCAAGACCACTCTGAACTACACAGTTAGACCCTGTCTCAAGGAAGGAAGGAAGGAAGGAAGGAAGGAAGGGAGAGAGGAAGAGGGAGGGAGGGAGGGACGGAGGTTTAGGTGGGGAATGCAGGGTAATGTTCCAGACAGGGACAAGTTAAAGGCCCCAAGGCCTGAGGGCACAGGACATACTGGGAACCCATATTGGTGAGCCCAGGAGATGAGGAGAAGCCTGTACAGGAGGGTCAGGCTGGAGCCACAGGGGTTTTTGTTGACCCACGGAGAACGCTCATAGCAGTGACAGCAGTAGGGAGCAATGGGAGGCTCCTCGGTACAGAACCACAAGCTTGGCAGAAAGACAGCTTTGGGAATGCACCAGAGAATCTTGGCAAACTCCACACTGCAAGGTGAGCCACCGTGCAGTTAAGAGATTCACAGGGCCCAGGCCTGTAGGGGAGGAGCAGAGAGCTGGGAACCAGTGAGGAGGAGGGAGCTGCTCCCTGGAAGGGAACAGGACTGGCTGCCCCAGTTTCTGGTGTGGGTCACACGCAGGAGAACAGCGCCCCTGTCTGAAACAGAGACCCCAGAAAAGCAGCTTGGTGGGGTAACTGTGAGTTTATGCTGGGGTGTAACTGGTTTGAGGGCCCGTGGTATAGCCAAGCCGAAAAGTCCCCTTGCCAGCTGGATACTGAAATCTGGACCTGATGGAAAGGTGCTGTCACAAGTCAGCATTTGGGAGTCCTCTTCCCCCAGGGTTGGGGGAATGGGGGACACCAGCATCCACGGGGCCTCCTTCGGGCAGAGCTGAAGCAGTGGCAGAGAGGAAGGAGAAAACTGCTAGATGAGGGTCTCCAGAGACAGAGGTTTGGAGCAGGAGAAAAACTACCCAAGGCATTCAGGAACCTTGACTCACTGGGGGGCCTGGGTGACGCTGGGCGGAAAAAGAAGCTGGGGAAGAAACACACTGGGCGGGGAAGGGCGGGAGAAAGCTGGGAAACTGGCCCTGGCCACCAGGCCTTGGGGTGGAAGAGACCAGCAGGGGAGCAATCCCAGGCCAGCAGTGGGAGGATTTGCCTCAGGCGGCAGAGGAGCTGCCTCCCTGGAGCCTGGGAAGCTGGAAAGGGGGTGTGGCAGGGAGACTGTGAGACTCTAAGTGCGCAAGATGCTTGGGGAGCTGGGGGAAGCGGAGGGCTCGGGCAGGGCTGGCAGGGCCTCTCCGGAGGGTTCGCAGGGTTCGCGCTGGCGCCACTGCTCGTGGCTACACAGCAGGGCACTCCAATGGTGGCCCAGGGTTTCTCAGTGAAGTGGAACCAGGATTGTCCGTGAGCAGCGGGGTGGAGAGGTCACGGGGCAGAGTGTAGGGGGAAAGTTCGGAGTTCGGTTATCATCAGAGTTCTGAGTGTGAAGTGGCTTAGTCCCGACTTGAGGACATGAGACGGCGAGCGGCAGCCTGACTGGAGTGTCCGAGTCCGATCGGGGCACCGAAGGATGGAACAGCAAGGGCTGGAGGGGAAGAGAGTGTTCAAGGGTAGAAAGGGCCTGCGCTGTGTCGGGAAGAGCAAGTGGGGAAGATCCTAGAATTCTTTTAGCGTAGAGGTGGGACAGACTGGGTAAAGACCAGCTGGGCGGCTCAGGGGTTCCTGGGCTGAAGAAACAGTGAAGAGGACAGTTTCCTCTCAGAAGGGTGGTTGTGACGGATGGCACGTTTATGTCCTGTCGTGCCATTCCCTGTCAGTGAGCTGCCCCGGGTGCCATGCCGCAACCAGCACCCACCCCACCTCTCCTGGGATAGTTCCAGGCCATAGTCTGAGCCTCAGGTAAGAGGAAGAAGGGTCACCCTCAGCCCAAAGCAGGGTCACCCGTGCCCTTCAAGAGCAGAGGTTTCCCTGAGGACGGAGGAGGGTCTGGAGTGGACTGAAGGCAGTCAAAGGGGAATTTGACTAACCAGGCTTTCCAGAGGAGGCAGTGCTGGACCAGAAACTTAACGAAGGAAAGGTTGCTCTAGGTAAAGGGGGGCTTGCGAGAGAGCTCACAGAGAGGCCCCACCTGAACTGCAAAAAGCCGCCCTGCAAGCTCACCTTTCCTTCCATGTCCCCTGACTCCTTGTTAGCATGCAGCTAGCCATACTGCCAGCTTTGTCTCACCACAGGGCCTTTGATGCACTGTTCCTGCCCCTGCAAAGCTCCCTGCCTCTCACAGGGTTTGGGAAATTGGTCTGTTTGGAAAGCACCTAGAATTACTTGAGGAAAAAATTATTTGTAGCAGGTTCGTGTGAATTTACAGAGACTTTGCCACAAGCTTTGCTTCCATGGAGACCCAGGCCCTCTCAGTGAGGGCCTCTGGCTTCAATGTGGGCTCTCTCCGTGACTTCTGGCTTTGATGTGGGCTGTCCTGGGCTAGAAAGGGGGAAAGAGTGACATGGGAGGGACCCAAATTGCCCCTCACTGTGTATGACACTTAGAAGGTACTAGAAGGTTCTGTGCTGAATGGAAGGTCTGGACGAGGCTGCTTATTTAATATCCCCTACCCAGTGGTCAAAGAATTTGCTCTTGATCGCGGATTTGCTTTTGCTGAGCCAGAGTCCATTTCTACACAACCTTGAGGCCACAGGCGTAGTTGGAGGCCGTACACCTCAGGGCGCCTTGCACCTGTCCTTGCCCAAGAGTCACGGGAAGTTGCTAAAGAGACCAAAAGAAGAACCTGCCCGCAATGCCTGCCTGTCCTCTCGACCCCAGCTGCTGCCTCAGAGAGGATCAAAACAGGTCAGATAAAATCTGTCCCACTCAGAGTTCCAAGGAAACAAGAGTTAGAAATGTCATGTGATGCAGCTCAGCCTCACTCAGCCCTGTCCTTCGCCAGCTGTGTGGCCCTGGAGGCCCTGACCCTCCAGCTGGTTGCTTTCATCTCCTCTGGCAGTCTGTAAGGCAGCGAGGGATGAAAGCCACTGGCCCTCTGAGAGCTGCTCTGGGCCCACCAGCTTCTCCCGGACACTGTGAGATTGTCATCCTCAGAAGCCAGGCCCCAGCACTGCACCTCCTCCCCGTACTCTGCTCCCTCTCATCTGATCTGGATCAGGCCATGATGTAGAGGACTCCAGGACACCCGGAACCAGCCCATGTGGCCTCATTGTGTTCCACGAACAACTCTGGAGCCCAACGGGCTGCATGAAGCCCTGGGGCAGGCCTTGGGCCCCAGGAGGCCCTTCTCTCCTATGGAGGGGAGAATAGAATCAAGGCACAGCTTTGAATGCAGAGCAAATCCTCGCTGGAACTTGACTAGGACCTTCCTCCAGAGGTGGCTTCAAATACGTTCTCCAGAATTACGTGAGCAAGTGAATGAATGAATGGTAACACTGGTCTTAAATCAGAAGTTTTCAAAACCTGTCACTGTAAATTCAGAAAGCTTTCCTTTCTTTCACTCAGAGACCCCACCACCAAGGAACAGGCCTGGCAGACTCCACCTTCCCTATGTATGAAGGGTCTTAGTCAATAAGGCAGCCTGAGCTGGGTGTAGTCACACACACCTGTAATCCCAGCACTCAAGAGGCTGAAGCAGGAGGATAGCCAGGAGTTTGAGGCCAGCCCAGGCTACATGGAGAGTTCAAGGCCAGCCTGAAATACATAGCAAGACCCTGTCTCAAAAATAAAAAAATAAAAAAATAAAACCCAGATGGCCCAAATGTGGCCTGTTCATGGGGCACAAGTCTCCTTTCTCCAGACTCCTCCATCCTTGTGCCCCAGTCAATACGCTCACAACCCCAGCCCCACCTGTGTGAGAAGACGGAGGAGAGAAAATGCTGGAGCACACCCCCAACAACACACACTGAATAAACACAAACTGGGCAAAGCTGTAGGAATTAATTTTACTGAATTTTTTTTAATTCCAAAAATTCCCAGTGTCTCAAAAGAAAACTGCAACCCTCAAATAAGCATCTATAAGTAAACAAGATAGTAACATTGGCAACAAGCCCTGTTGCCGGTGGGAAACCACCGACAAGGGGAACTCTGGCCCCCACGAGTTCTGCAATTGCTTCAGAGGTGCTATTCCTGCTCCTCCACCATTCGGTAAGTTGTGTAAGAAGCTGTTGAAAGAGCATAGGGCTGCAAGGCAGGAACCTTGAGGTCCGAACTCAAGACCATCCCCAAGTAGCTGTGTGACCTTGAGCGAGGCCCGGGCATCACCGAGCTGTCATGTTTCCACCTGTGATATGAGGGGTGGCCTTTGTTTTAACCTCCATGGCTTGGATTTCTGCTGTGTTCTCACTGCACCTGCCCAGAACCACCCAGGAAGAGCTTCACTGGTACAAATGGGAAAAAATGGCCCATCCCAATTTTTGAGTCAATCACCCCCCAATCTGGCTTAAACTTAGATGTGGATCAGTAAGGTACCACTTCCCTACTAGTCCACCAGGGAAGTTGGTAGGATGCGTCTTGGGAGGGTTACAAGGTCTTAGGAGCTCTCTCTCCCTCCAAGGTCAGAGGGCCAAAGGGGAGAAGAGAGTAAATTAGCAGGTGGAGTTGCCCTGGTAGAGCACTTAGAGGGAAGGATGTGACAGCATCTCCGAGGCAGGCTCGTTGGTATCACCCTGAGCGGTACCATCACATTGCCGTGCTGGCCTGTCCTCTATAGCTTGAGCCCAGGATGTGGGACCCTGCCTTGGGTGGTGCATCCTCCCGGAGAGCAGATTCGATCCCAAGCACCCCTGCCCTCCCAGGGAGGCAGTGGGCAGGGCACTCTGGTGCTTCCTTTGCATGAGCTCCACTGCAGGACGGGGTGTTGGCAGGGTCCCAAGCCTACAGCCAAAAAGGGATCCAAGCCCTCCTAGAGAAGCCTCCTTCCTAGAAGGATCCATGCTGTCTGACTCTCTCTATTCCTCCAGAACTCCAGGGTCTCCTCAGGAGGGTTTTCCTAGACTGTTCCTGAAGAAAACCACACACTTGTCCTAGGACAGCTGCCTTCTGGTTCCCTCTTCAGAGGCAGACCCAGGGAGCTGGAGAGCTCAGTTTGAGGGTCAGACCAACCGCAGCCCTCAACCCAGCAAGCCACTATGAGAAAGCTACTGGCCTCTCTGGACCTCTGAATCCGCCGCCATAAAATGAAAACAACAGGTCCAACCCAACACACACTGTGCGGATTAAATGAGATAAAGCTTGGAGAACGCTTAGGCCAAGCCCAGAGCCAGCTCATAGTTGTTGTGATTACACAGAGCTGCACAAAACCCACGTGGATTAGACACAGGCCTCCGCAAAAGTCTGTCAGTGACAATGGTGTTCTGGGAACAGTTTAAGGGAAAGTCTAAGGACAGCAAAACAAATGCTGTGTCCTCCCAGGAAGTGGCATGCTGTGCTTGCTTTAGAGGTTTGTGCAGCCCTCCCCTCATTGCACAACTAAGGAAACTGGAACTCCTTGACAATGCATGGTACGTGCAGGAGGTCACACGGCACGTTTGAGACAGTTTGGACAAGAGGTTCTAGCTCCTCGTTTCTTATTCACGTGGACAGATTGTTTTCTCAGCTACGTGTCCATCTCAGATGGCTGCTTGCCCTTCCCCCTCCGGTTCCAAGAAAGCCTTGGATCTGTCCTCCCTTGGGCTCCCTGCCCCAAGGATGTTTCAACCTCCGGACCCAGGGGGCTTCCAGAGCCCACCCGTCTCTTGCCTCCCTTTTCCTGGAGCTGGGTCCTAAAGGCCGCCCAAGAGGGAGGAAATGAGAGAGCAGACGGGAGAAGCAGCAGAGGCCATGTGAGGTGGGGAGGCTGGGTCCCTAGGGTGGCCTGAGGGCAGAGTCCCAGCCTCCCCAGGCTCAGCCCTGGACACTCCACCTTCCCAGGTCATCCACCTGTATTTTCCAGAAAGGACTGGCAACCTCCTGGATTCTAGGTGACCCGCACGAAAGAGCGGCCCAGTACTGACCAGATGAAACCTCCTCCCATCAGGCAAGATGGGAGCTCAGCTCACCAGCACAGGGCTGATTTCAGGCCACCTGGGGAGGTGGACTGAGGTCATTCTTCCCACACAAGGCGCAGCTCAGTCCCCTTCACAACCGTATTCGCCTAATTGTCTGACACTTTTCTTTGCTGGACTGGGTCTTGAACCCAGAGCCTTTGCACTGAGCTACATCCCAGTCAGCCGCACCCCCACCTTTTGAGACAGAATCTCACTAAATCCTTAAATCACCCAGGCTGAGCTCAAATCCTCTCGCCTCAGCCTCCCAGAGTGCTGGTATTACAGGTTTGCACCGCCACACCCAGCCTGCCCAGGGCTTTACAGAATGCCTTCACAGTCTTCTGTCAATCCCTGCTTGATTTTATGCCTGATTTTATGCCTGTTTCATGGATGAAAAAGCCAGAGCTCTAAACTGGACACAGTGGTGCAAGCCTGTGATCCCAGCTACGTGGAAGGCTGAGGCAGGATCAGCAGGCCTAGACTAGGCTGAGCAACAGGGAGAGGCCCACCTCGGAGAGGGAGAGAGACAGAGACAGAGAGATAGGAAGATGGAGGAAAAGGAGGAGGAGGAGGAGGAAAATGGCCTGGATATGTGGGCTTGCCTTGTGGCCCCTTCCTGGGTGACTCAGCACAATGCAGTCCCAGCTTCCAGACATTCACCAGACCCTGGTTGTGTCACCTCAAATAGAAACTCAGCTGCCACCAGGCATGAAAACATTCATAAGCTCACTAGCAGTTAAAATATGCCCAACAAAGCGGGGTGTGGTGGCACACATCTGTAATCACAGCACTCGTGAGGCTGAGGCAGAAGGATCATTACCGGTGTGAGGCCGACCTGGGCTCCATAGTGAGTTCAAGGCCAGCCTTAACTGCATAGGGACTCTGTCTCAAAAAGAACAAAACGCCCAACAACCTGGCATGACAGTATCTACCTATAGACCCTGATACATGGGAGGCTGAGGCAGGAGGATCACTTGAGCCCCATGAATTTGAGGCCTGCCTGGGCAACATAGCAAGACATAGGAAGAAGTGGTCTTGAATTCTCAAGAGAAAGAAAGAGGGTGGGAGGAAGAATGGGGAGACGGAGATAGAGAGAGAGAGAGAGAGAGAGAGAGAGAGAGAGAGGAAGAAAGAATGGAATGCAGAGAGAGAGAGAAAGAAAAAGAAAGAAAAGGAAGGAGAGAGAGAAAGGAAGGAAGGAGGCTCTAGAACCACATTTTTATTATTATTGCTGACATGCCTAATTTGGCAAAATCCTCCTTGATCCAGTAACAGTTTTGGTGGTAATATAATTTGATGCACGTTTTCTATATATTTTTGCACACACACACATTTATGTTTATCTCCAAAGCCTTACAAATACTCATACCCTAAATACCACATGATATCCTGGATTGGCCCTTAGAACAGGAAAAGGGCATTGTGGAAAAACAACTGAAATCCAAAGAAACGCTGGAATCTCATTAGCAGCATCATATCAAAGTTAGTTTATTAGTTTTGACTTACGTACCCTATTTAGGTATATTGATAGCATTAAGGAAGTTGGTGAAGGGTAGACGGAAGCTCTGTGCTACCTTTGCAACTCTTCGATAAATCTAAAATTGTTTCAGAATAAAAGGTTTATTAAAAAAAAAAAAAGCTCACACTCTTTTACCCAGAATTTCACTTCTAAGATTTTATCTCAGAACTTATCAGAGATGCAGATGGATGTTTGTGAATAAGGGTGTTCCATCACTAATCGCCCGGAAACTGAACTTATCCACATGTCCGAGAGTAGCAGGTTGAGTGAGTCACAGTGCCCACCGTGGTAGAGTGTAGCCAGAGACAATCATACGCGAAAGTATTTATTGATGTGGAAAATGCTTACAATAGCTGTGCGTGGTGGCTGTGCGTGTGATCCCAGTACTCAGGAGGCGGAGGCCGGAGGATCACCGCGAGTTTGAGGCCGGCCGGGGCTACACAGTGAGTTCAGGGCCAGCCTTGAACTACCAAGCAAGACCTGCGTCAAAAGAAACAAATAAAAAAATGCTTACAATAGAGAGTTAAGGGAAATGATTGGGAAACATGCCTGTATATAGTTTAAGCTCAATGTACTTTTGTTTTTGGTGCCGGGGATATAACTCGGGTCCTTGCCCTTGCAAGGCCGGTGGTAGAATCATTGAGCTAAGTCCCTGACCCCTCAATGCACTTTCTAAAACTATGCCCATAAGACAAGAAGGAAATTCACCAATTTACTGAAGGTAGTTAGTAATAGAATACATCATTTGAGTGAATCTTATTTTCTTCTGAATACATATACATATACATATATATATAATTTTCTATGAACATATGTTTATAATCAGGAAAGGGATATCCAAAATCCCTTACTCATGGCAGTTCCTCAAAAATTTAAACAAGGAATTACCATATGACCCAGCAATTTTAACTACTAGGTATATACCCAAAAGAACTGAAAATTTACATCCAAAAACAACCCCCCCAAAAAATGCCTGAAACAACAAAAAGTGTACATAAATGTTCGTAGCAACATTATCCAAAACAGCCCAAAAGTGGAAAAAATGCAGTAGGATAATCAAAATGTGGTACATTCCTGCAATGTAATACTACTGAACCACAGGAACAAGTGAAGTATGTCGGGCACCATGACACTCCCCGAGTTCAAGGCCAGCCTGGGCTACGTAGTGAGACCCTGTCTCGAAAAAATTAAAAAGAACCAGTGAAGTACTGATACACACTACAAGGGTGACCCTTGAACATGCTATAAGGGGGAAGAAAACAGATACAAATGCCACACTGAGCTGGATCTCTAACCTTTTAAATTTCTATTTTTGAGACAGGGTTTTGCTACATTGTCCAAGTGGGGCTCAAACTTGTGATCCTCCTGCCTCAACCACCTAAAGTGCTGAGATTATAGGCATGTGCTACCACCATTCAAGGCTTTGTGAAGGCTTTGTGATACTTTTTTTTTTTTTGGTACCAGGGATCAAACTCAGGCCCTTGCGCTTGCCAGGCAGGCAGTGGAACCACTGAGTCAAATCCCCGGCCCTTTTGTGATACTTTTTAAACAAAATGTCCAGAACAGGCAAATCTATAGAGAAAGAAAGTCGATTAATTGCTGCCAGGGGCTGGAGAATTGGCAAATGGCCCAAGGTTTCTTTCTGGGGTGACAAAAATGTTCTAGAATAAGACGGAGGTGATGGTTGGCACAACCTGCTGAATATACTAAAAAATACAGAATTGTACATTTTAAAGGGTGAATTTTGTGGTTTGTGGATTATATTTTAAAAAGAAAACAAAGGAAAAAGGGAGGGAGAGAAGGAAGGGAATGCTCAATACTCAAAAGCCACATTTCGCTGTTTTTCATAATTTTTAAAGTTTTATTAATATTGTATATTGCAGTACAGAATGATTACATTCATCATAGGGAATGGGTACATAACACATCTCATAATTTATTTTGTAAATAATTATTTTATTTATTTTTAGATAATGTTCAGGATGGTGAACTCCAGCTGCCTCCAAATCCAGGGCCACACAGGCAGAGCAGGTGCCGGTCGGCTCGTGTGATGGAAAGAGCCCTAAGAAAATGACTGTGACTAGCAATCTCTCCCCGTCGGTGCTCCTCTCCCTCCCTCTCACAGACCCACCTTCCCATCCACCTCCGAGGCATGATCAAAATATAGGGTGACTGCTTAATTTTAAAATGTATAACAATAAAAAACACATTGCGATTAATTCCCCTCACAATACTCCCCCTGGCTTTGAACACCCCTTTCCCGTTCGTCATTCCGGCCACTTTCGGAAGCCCTTCTGGAAGTCCTCTTTTGTGCCTGGTTTCACTGTCATGGCTGCCTCAAGGTCAACATTGACCTCTCGCGGACATTTCGACTTTAAAGAAGAGCCAGAAGTCACACGGTGCCAGACCCAGTGAGTACAGTGGATGAAGACACACAGGAATTTTTTAAGTTTTTCTTGACCTTTTATTGACTGCCCTTTTTGATATTTTTTAAAAATTTTACTTTTATTAGTACATATTTGAAGTACGTATGCTCACATTCCTGTGGGTGTGGTACACATATATCACACATCTTAATTCTTTTTTCAGCCCCCTCTTCTCCCCTAATCCCCCCATCTCTTGGTGCCCTTCCCTTTTGCCAAAGATCTATCTCTCTGCTTCTTATTATCTATTTTGCTCTGTAAGACACCCTAGTGCTTCCACAAGCCTGCCTTTCCGCTGGATGGCACTCAGCCGCAGTAGTCACTGTATTTTTCATCACAACTTGTAGACATTCACGAAACAGACTTCCAGAACCACCTCAGAAGGAGGCAAGAATGATGGGAACAGTGTGTTCGAAGTGAGGGAAAGTACTTCGAGAGGGATGCATGGCAATGTGTCCTCCGGTGTGGGAACATTTCTAAATTCTAAACATTCACTGTCCACTCTGGTCACCTCTCACACCTATCATCCACCCATCTATGTACTCACCCATTCGTGCCCCCCACCCCCGTGCCATGGCAGAATACTGGCACAGGAAGAGCGGGCAGAGCCGTCCATTGGGCCCTTTCCTTCTGGGGGCCTTGGGAACCCCCAGAGCTCTAGTTTTCAGTTATCCTCAATGCAGCTCTTTCTCTACTGGCTGGCTGAGGTCTCCTCGTAACCTCCCCGAGAACATATTTTCACAGGATTTGGCCAAGAGTAAAATAAAAAGAAGAGCTGGGTTTGCAAAGGTAAAGGTAGGAAGAAGTAAAGGAAGCTATAAACCCTGGCCTGAGGTTCCTGAAGTAGGGTACACAGGACTCTCTGAGGAGAACAGGAGCATCTGGGGAGGGTCAGGGAGGAGGAAGAGGCCCTAGGTGGGCTGGGCCTTTAAGCAAAGATGCCACCTTCCTGCTCAGGGCCAGGCTGGGCCTGGCCGGGGTGGGCTGGGTTTGAAGTGTGTTGAAACTGAAATTGGTGGAGGCATTTGAAGAATGGGGGAGGGAGGGGTGGCGGTGGTAATTGCGTTGTTCTGCACTGGAGAGCTGGCCTGGCAGGGCTCAAGGAACACCCGGGTGACCCTTCCTGTGTGGTGGTCAGCCAGCATCTCTGCCTGTCCTGCAGCTGCACCTCCCTCCTTCCTGGTGCAGCACCCCACTTTCCTGAGAGGGACTAGGTTCCGTGGGCTGTCTGGGCTGGAACCTGGAAGTCACCCAAGAAGACTGGCACTACCTCTGCCTGGCCCAAGCCCTCCCCTCATGGCCTTCCTAAAAATTTTAACTTCCTTGAAGTTCAACACTTTTTTCAATTTTATGAGTTTTCAAACTTGTCTTGTAGGTTGAAAAGATAAAAATGCTCTTTTGGGACTTAAGTTATCTAAATGCTGTTTGGGGGATTAAACTAGCAAAACCCAAACTAACACAGTGTGCAAAACATGAAGCCATGGTAATAATATTCCCACGTTGACCAAGTGTCTACCATTGCCAAGGACAACATGTGGCATATCGCACACATTTATCTAACTCTCACTCCTCAGGGCTCAGAGATCAATCCCATGGCTAGAGCTTCACAATGAAAAGAAGCGGAAAGGGGGCTCGGGTCCAGCTTGATCTGGCCTCTAACCCTAGACCCTCTCTCCTTCCTCCTTCCTCCTTCCTTCCTTCTCTCCTGCCTCACTCCATCTGTACCTCTTTCCCTCCTTTTTCTTCTTCCTTCTCTTCTCTCTGTTGTACTTCGACCTTAAGGATGGAGAACTGATTTATCCATACTCCTCAGTTCCTGGCATTTCATCATCACAGGTCCATGCAAAGCCCCTCTTGTTTTATTACCCAAGTTCTTCCTGCCTCACCAAATCACGTTCCCGTGGTCCCATGACTGCGGCTCACATGTGATAGGGACTTTAGCTGGCAGACACTCCAGAAATTTGTCAGAGTCAAGTCTGTACTTGTGTTTCCTCGAAAGATAAAATCCATTTTGAAGCTGAGCATGGTACCACACACCTGTAATCCTAGCACTCAAGAGGCTGAGGCAGGAGGATCACTACAAGATCAAGGCCAGCCTGGGCTACCTAGCAAGACCCTTTCTCCAAAACAAAACAAAAAAAAAGCCCAATCCAATTTGACCTGGGAAATTTTTCAAGGTGCCTCTGCAGTAGTTCCATTGCTTGGTTAGTCCATTGGCCCAGATATGTATTTACTCTGGACAAAGCTGTATTGTGGAATTTGTAAGAAAGAGGAAAATCCTGCCCCTGCCCTCAAGAAGTTTAAAAACTCCTTTTCAACAAATATATACAGAGCACTGATTTCATGTGCCAGATCCAGAGACAGAAAGACAACAACAGTCACTGCCCTCTGAGAGCTAAGAACCCAGTAAGGGGAAGACCAGGAAGTAATCACCACCCCGTGTCAGATGGAGGGAGGCCCGGAGACTCGGGCCACGCCGCCCAGGCGTAGCACGGACAGAAATGCTAACCACAGAAGTCACTGAAGGGCCACATCTGTCTGAGTGCAATGGTTTCCGCCCCTCACCTCAGCATTGTGTAATAATGACGGGCAGAGTTTTCATCACATTTGGAGGGGAAGTTTGGGATGGAGAGACTTAAAGTATAAACTATGTAGCATGCAGGAAATTTTATTTTTTTCATTTATTTATTCGTTAATGTTTTGGTACTAGACAGATAGATGACATTTACCACAGGGAATTTGTACCTGTACACGGTACGTCTTGCTTCTTTTTTTCCGCATTCCCCTCCCCTCCCTTCAACCCCTCTTCCCATCCTTACTTACAGAAGCTTCGTTTCCATTTTTTTCCTCATATTTCTTTTTACTTGTCCCTTCTTCCTTTCCCCCTCCTCCCTTCCTTGCTCCCCTTCCCATTTGAACATTTTCTTTCCATTTCCCAACATCTGTTAGATATTTGGTCCTTATTTACACTTTCAGGTTCTCATACCACGTTAGGGATTTAGCTCAGTGGTTCCGGTGCCCACCTCGCAAGCACAAGGACCAGAGTTCAATCCCAGG